ATGCGGATGCACTTGGATGACAATAGATTGCGTTACACATAATTTTTTCAGTATTAATGCAGTTATTGAAGTAATCTGACGTAGTTAAGCTTAATGCTATCAAACATTCTTAAAATTTGAAACCTTTAGCTTGAATAATATTCGCTGAWTTTTTCTGTTACCTTAAAAAGCTGGGGATGGATTCGACTAGATAGATTTCTTTGTTGTGGTAATGTTGTATAAATGTGCTGAGCGATAATTCGTCCGTGGGTTGAAGTCGATTTTCTTTCTTCTTGGTTTCCACTGTAACTATAAGCTTCTSGCTTTCTGGTAAAGATAAAAAATACTCATCACTCCATTTCKTAAAAGCTGGGAACGATTTCGCTGCTCCTTGGAAGAGAACTGGTTGTTCTCGCGAGACGAAGTCCCGGAAGAACGAGATTGGCTCAGGAAATCCTCTAAAAACTTCAACTGAAARTCGATCGCCGTACGAAAATATAGGCTTCAAATGCCCTTTAAGTTGKTCKKCCGTTTCAGTACATTTTGTACTGACAGTAAGTATGGATAAGAATAAAATAGAGCGATATAAAGTCGAGATATTAAGCATTCTCTACWAAGTKCAGCTGGTGTTGCGTTGATGTCTGAGGGYGAACTGGCGCTTGTCAAAGTGCGGGTCATTTATAAACGGCTTCAGATGAACACGTGCTGCTGTGAGGCGSATAGATGTGGATGTAGTTCAGATCATTGAAGAATAGGATGTTATGGTTTTATCAAAAAGTCGTAGAGAGATTTTTTTGATATCTTGCTTCCTGTTATTTTGGTAAAGTTTATTTTTCTCTTTTTTATATTTTCTTCCGTTCAGTCTAAATCCAAACTGAGTTTGTTTCTATAATTGTTTGTTCATGAGTTTGGTTCATGAGTATCATTCAAATTTTGTTCAGTGATTCATAGGCACCTGGCTCGCTTGCTTGCTTTGTAAAATGATAAAATTTTCTAAKGTATGCGCGTCACTTTCTCATTTCTTCACACTTTTAGAGTTTATGAAGTATATCACCTAAGTTTAATATACAAAACATCAAAAATTKATTACTTAGCATTAACACACTCCCATTTTAATTTACTCTCCGAGATTAGGTACTTCAAAACCTGTCTTTRACACTTCCTTTGCGTCAAGAGCCACGAGAGACACTAGGCAAAATGCACAACACCATTTTGAACAACAAAGCGCAGTGGGAGATAGTTCTCGCACTTTTGCATTTACAAAGAAAACATAAAAATGGCTTTTAGGAAGATTTTTAGGTACTATAAAAAGAATTAAGACTAAACTCCCATCATGCTTCGCGTTACAAAATGGCGTCGCTGGTCGCTTCCTCAAAAGACGGATATATATGGTTGTCCACACGACGTCTTCGTTTTGCTCGTAAACAAAGCTTCCAAGAGGTGCTCTAGATCAATAAACGAGTCGYTTGTTAGTTTTTATCATCTTTATTCCGCACCGCGATGACTGTGAATATCCTGTTATACGCTTTGCTTTTAGTTAAAATTTCATTACTGATAATTTGTTATTTTTCTTTCCAATTGTAGCATATATTTCTACAAATTCTAACCTGCAAAAATTGCTGTATTTCAATTAAATATGACTTCARGATTAATTTTTTCAACTGGTTTACTAAAACCACATTATCGCAAAATATATTTAGTCTTATAGACATTGAATTTTTTTTTTGAAGATATTAATTCCTAAATCAGAAACAAATCTTTTTCATAATAAATTGTTGAAGGCATCCGAATGGGCCAAAAATGTACAAAACCTGTGTTTTATCTAAAATATACTTCAACATATTAAACTACTTTATGTTAATTGAACCTTAAATTTTCTTAACTAAGGCTCCGTTGTCGAGTTCTAATTCATGGAACATTGAAGCTGAGAGGCATAATAACAAGAATCCAAGTTCCACAATTCTCAATATAACTAATTCATTTATTCATTTGTACTCACAGGTACCGGCGCCATCTTGAAAGGTAACCGCGCCCTTTCAATCGGCGAGGTTAAGATGGGGTATGGAACTGTGATGAAGACTCCTTTAGCTCTCAGCTTCTTATGATCTACGATTTTGAACTCAACAATGTCCATTTATTGAGTGTATTTCCTCAGGGGCGGATCCAGGTGAGATTTTTTGGTTACGAATGCACCCCCCTTTTTTGACGGCGTAATTTTTTTAAATATATCAGTACAAACGTTTTTTCTGCTGTTTATACGTCTGTTGTACTTTTATCGAGAAAACGAACAGCAAACACAACACTATCAAGACCGGGAATCCTGTGGTGGCGGGAAAAGGTACACGCGCTGACAAAAGCCCCGGCCCTGATAAAATGCTGGATCCGCCCCTGTTATCTCTCACTTGGAGCGTCATGTCGTTGGTGAAAACAATGCGTTTCCATCCACTGCATCTTTTGATGACTGATATATCGGAGATATTGTACCAACGTTCATTTCTTTGCTATGCTGTGGAGTAACAGCTARCGACATTGAGGACTGGGAACTAGATCGTGACGATCGTTGAGAGGGTGAACGATAAACCTCCCTAGGGGTGATAGGTGGGGCATGGTCACTAGGGCTGGTTGGTGAAACATGCAGCCTAGGGGTGGTGGGTGAGGCTGTGCTTGATGGTGGCGTGATTACTGTTGTATTATGGTAGTCTGGTTTAGCTTGACCAGGATGAACTGGTAAAAATGGTAGGGTTGCTGCGAGGGTTGACGATGATCTGTTGAACATGAATAATAAGAATTGAGTTATATCTTCCTTTGCGCTGGGCGATGAAACTGGCAATGTTCGTAAAGTAGCCATAACAGCAACGTGACATCTCTGTCACAATGCGAGAAAAAGTCAGAACAGGGTTTGTTTTCTGGACATCCTACCTGGTCGAGTCTCCAGTAGAGTTGGTCATATACACATCGCCGTTAGCCAGTTCTGTGGCAGGGTCGTCTACTTTACCAAGCATGCTATACCTGCAAAAACACAGTAAACAACAATCCACTGAGTCAACAGCAAAAGTGCAATGAACAGTCATCAAAGAGAATGAATGAAAGAATGAATGGGAAGAATTTCTGGATGGATGGACTGAGGGAGAAACCTATATGACTTATAATATAGTTCTTTTAAAACTATCATGGGAAATTTATATTTTATTTATACACATATATTATCAATGAAAGATGAATCAATTATCAAAATATCTGCAAAATATTGTTTTGAAATGTTAAATCTGTACAAAGATTTGTGCAATATGGTATGACATGATCTTGTTATARTTATATTTCTAGGCTTGTACTTTAAACTTCTAATGTACYATTTTGGGTGTTTATGGAATAAAGTGTATCTTTATAAACCATCTTTGTGGCTGTTATAAAAATATTGTGTATAAATAAGGGTTTATTCAGACATTCATTGATGAATGGATGGATGAAGATAAAAAAATACATTCAATTCACCTTTTAGCTTCATCTTCCTCCCAATCAGCCTCCTCTTCATCACTAGAGTCATCAGGCGCAACATACAATACTTCAAGAGTTATTTCACCATACACTCTTGACAGTATCTTGACAGCTTCATTGTGTTTTGAGTCCTGTAAGTCAGTTCCATTGACAGCAAGTATGGCATCACCTACATATAAGCCACCTGATCTTGAGGCAGGCATGCCTTCATGAATCTCTGACACAAGGATTGGAACTCCATGTTCTTTTCCTCCCTGGAGAGCATGACATGATTTTCAATCAAATTTTTGTTGGAAGTGAAAAAGAAAAGGAAAGAATAAAGGATAGAGTGCAGGTATAAATCAATGCATTTGTAAATAATTGATTGATCAATCAACCAATCAACCAACCAACCAATCAATCAATCAATCACTTGATCACTCAATCAACCAATCAACCATTCAATCAACCAACCAACCAACCAATCAAATCGATCAATCACTCAATCAACCAACCAACCAATCAAGCAAGTTATCCACCAATCAATCAATCAATCAATGAAAAAAAAACAAGCAAGCAAGCAAGCAAGCATGCTACTTTTGTGGCCCCTTATGATTGACATACATTGCAAGGCAACTTTTCAGAACATCACCTACTTCCAAATTAAATGAAACCCTGAATGCAATACACCAATAAATGATTTAATCATTTGACAAACTAAATAACTTACTGTGATTGATATTCCAAGTCCTTCAGATTTGTCCTTATGAATGACGATAGTTCTTGGTTCCCCTATACCACGCCTCTTTCTATTCACAGAGTCTAAGTCATCATCATTGATATCTTCTGATGGCGCAGGAGGTGGTGGGGGCTTTGGAGGTTTGTTGTGTGGRTCTTTACGTCCTCGACAAGCCCGAATTACAGTTTTGTGTCGATGTAAGTGGATTTCTGCTTCTATCTGGTTCCAWAGTTTATCATGCATGCTTCCRCGCATGTCTCTACCTAGAAGTTGAATTTGTTGAATTCTGCCAACAAATAACGAAGAGATTACTACAGATGACAAAAACATTTCAGAAAAAGTATTTTTAGATTTATGCATACAGAGAATACAATATGGCAGGTGAGAAGGAAACCACTAGGGATTGTGGGAATAAATAATTGGACATACTGCGAGAAACTATCATAGATTTGTTTCTTACCACAAAAAAATATATTCTAAAATTAGATAACAACTCACTCAAAAAGAACAGGTACTTTTATATACAACAGTTCACAAAAAGAAATCAAGGGTTAAAATCATGGTAAAAAGGTATTGTTGACTTTTACAGAAATGCTGCAAAATGCAGTATATAGGAATGTCTCAAAATCCGCTAATAATATATCCATGGATAGGAATGATAATAGGAATGAATATATACAAATAATATGATA